CCTGGTCCTGAATGGAGTAACTGTGCCCCTGAAGAACCAGGTGGGCAGCCTGGGAGTCATTCTGGACTCACAGCTGTCCATGGAGGCACAGGTCAATTCTGCATCCAGGGCAGCTATCTATCAGCTCCATCTGGTATGGCAGCTGAGACCCTCCCTACCTGCACACTGTCTTGCCAGAGTGGTGCATGCTCTGGTTATCTCCCGCTTGGACTACTGCAATGTACTCTGTGTGGGGCTACCTATGAAGGCGACTTGGAAACTACAACTAATGCAGAATTCAGCAGCTAGACTGTTGACCAGGAGTGGCCACCTGGACCATATAACACCAATCCTAAAGGATCTTCATTGGCTCCCAGTGTGTTTCTGAGCAGAATTCAAAGTGTTAGTGTTGCTGACCTTTAAAGCCCTAAATGGGCTCAGCCTAGTATACTTGAAGGAGTGCCTCCACCCCCATTGCTCAGCCTGGACACTGAGGTCCTCCTCCGAGGGTCTTCTGCTGGTTCCCTCACTGTGAGAAGTGAAGTTACAGGGAACCAGGCAGAGGGCCTTCTCGGTAGTGGCACCCTCCCTGTGGAACTATCTGACTTTTAGAAGACATCTGAAGGCAGCTTTGTTTAGGGAAGTCTTTAAGGATTGATGTTTTTATTACGTTTTCAGATATGTTGTAAGCCGCCCAGAGTGGCTGGCGAAACCCAGTCAGATGGGTGGGGTATAATAATAATAATAATAATAATAGTCATGGATGCTTTAGCTGAGATTACTGCAGTGCAGAGGGTAGAACGAGATGGCCCTTGGGATCCCTTCCAAATCTATGATTCTTATTCTATTCTTAGCTATGAAGAGAATCTGCAACCCAGCTTATTTGGTACATTTAAAACAGATGCAGTCCATCCGGCTGTATCCTAATAAAATAGGAGGCAGCTAAAGAGTTAGAGTTTTGAAAAACAGCTATGTTTGCAGAGATGATTTCCCTCTTTCATTAGCATGTAACTCCCATCAGGTTAGGGCATAGCAGACATATAAGCAAAAATGTAAAACATTTCTATAAATAAAAAGCTTGCAAACAATAAAAAACTTAGCAAGGCAATAACAGATACAGCATCTTGCCCATCATAATAAAGAATATAAGTGGAAATGTGTCCTTCAATTCAGTAATAAATAAAAAGTCATACATTTCAGTCAAATGGTGCTTGGTACTTTTCTTTCAAATGCACTGACTGCAGGTTACCATGGTTACGGAGAACTGTAGTGTTCTCTTTTGGTATAACTGCTGAATATTTGTAGACAAAGCACTGAAATGTATCTTCCACACCCGCTCTGGTGTCTGTCTAGAAATTACCACACTAGCTGGGAATTTGAATAATTGGTTCACCATATTCAATGTGAAGTTTTCTCAGTGAGCACCAAGACTGAACAGGAGAGTGAGTTGTAAAAATGAGTCTGAATTAGTGATGGGCACCTTGCCTCAGAATAAGATGAGCTAATCCATCTTCCTACCCCCAAAACTGAGAAAACACTCAGCTGCTTCTGAGCCAATCTGTGCTGATTTGTTGTAGCTTCCGCAGCTCCCCAGCACCTTCTTTGCAGCCTCTCAATCTCCTCCCACAACTCTAGCATCCATTTCTGAGCCTGCTTCCCATCTACCACCTTCCAAACATCTCCTTCTCCCCCATCTGTTCACTTAAGAGCCCTCCTATGTCACGCCAAAGGCCCATCTAGTCTAGCATTCAGTTCTTGTGATGGCTGACCAGACACCCTTGGGAAGCCCACAAGCAGACCCAAGTATGAATCCCCTTCCCACACTCATGGTACCCAGAAGCTGGTATTCAGAGGCGGGTGGCGCTGTGGTCTAAACCACTGAGCCTCTTGGGCTTGCCAATCAGAAGGTCGGTGGTTCGAATCCCCACAATGGAGTGAACTCCCGCTGCTCTGTCCCAGCTCCTGTCAACCTAGCGGTTTGAAAGCATGCCAGTGCAAGTAGAGAAATAGGTACCACTGTGGCAGGAAGGTAAACGGTGCTTCCGTGCTCTCTGGCTTCCGCCATGGTGTTCTGTTGCACCAGAAGCAGTTTAGTCATGCTTCCCCCATATGACCCGGAAAGCTGTCTGTGGACAAACGCAGGTTCCCTCAGCCTGAAGCAAGATGAGTGCCGCAACCCCATAGTCGCCTTTCACTGGACTTAACTGTCCAGGGGTCCTTTACCTTTTATTCGGAGGCATATTGCCTCACAAAGTGAAGGCAGAACACACCTTGTTATATGTACAGAAATGGAAAGAAGTGAAGGTTCCAATGAAGGAGGAACGGCTTTTAAAAGTAATGGACTATGCAGGAATGTCAAAGCTGACAGCAATATTAAGAGATCAAAACAATGAACTTCCTATAGAAGAATGGAGGCTTCTCCATTGGACTATTTGAAAAAAGTACTATAATCAAATGAAACTGCGGGCAGGATTCGGGACAGGAGCAGCGGAAGAAAAAGGATAAAGTCATTTTATTAGAGGGATTTTTGTAATAGCTAAGAGTTTGATATATAATGCAGTAGAAAGGGGTTTGAACAAAAATGCTGTGGGGAGGGAGGGGCGAGAAGTCAATATATGAAATAATGTAATTAATTGATTTGGAGCCAATTTGTGAAACTTTGGAAAAATCTAATGGAAAATTAAAATGGGGAAAAGGCAAAACACAACCGTCAGGACTAGTAGACGCTCGTAGCTTTGTCTGTCTAATCTGCCTACCTCAAGGCTGAAGCTACTGGTGTCAGTATGGATGTGTAGATTTTTGCACACCTTATGTGATGTGACTCAGCACAATGAGCTTTCTGTATTCCTATTTTACGAACACCTGGTTCATGTTCCTCCTTCTCATCGCCTAGTTCCGATTTATTTACTGCCACCTCGGGATTTTGTGTAAATCAAGCATATCTCTTTCCATTTCTTTAAGAGCCCTGTGCTGGAAAACAGGAGAGAAGCACTACACGAAAGTCTCTGCCTGCCCTCTAGGCCCATTCTGAACATCATTAGGCCTAAATGACCACTTGGTTAGTTTTCTAATCGCTTAGAATTTTTCTGTCAAACTAGATTAGCCTTTACTCGAGCCCTATTAGATTTCAGTTTCCTTTTGCTTGGGATATACTTAGCGCTCCCACCGTTTTTCTCAACTGTTTTAACTGCCCAAAATCTCTCCTCCCAGCTGATCAATATTCTGCCCATTACAGACCCGTGTTCCTCTATTTAAGCACAGTTAGCCAAGTGCATGCTCCTTCATATGTACAAGTATGGCTAAGGGATCCATTAGCCGGTTTCTAGAGACGCATTGAAGGGATGTTCTGCTTTTCCTTGGCTAAAGATCTATACTGGTTACTTGTCTCGGATGTGCATGGGAGGATGCTGGACAGCAGCAACCCTTGAGCCATTGCTAGGTTGCCAGGAAGCATCAGGAACCATCTTTACTGCTGCATACAAATGCAAGTGATTTCAAGCTGTTGCCCTCCTCCCGAGTCCTACCAAGCCCAGCTGAGGAATATTAACCACACAGACTTGCCTACACTGGCTGAGTGGCACTTTCCCCTCATATAACTGTAGGGCAGCAAACATCAGCTTCCAAAACAATGCTGCCCAGGCTCACATCTTGGTTGTATGCCTGCTTTTGCTGGAAGTGCCCCAGTTTTGGATCACCACTTCTGCCATCTTGCTATTTCCATTAAACTTGTCTCATCTTTGGTTCACCCCATCCTTTGCTGATGTCTGCTGGTCTCCATTGCTGCATATACAGTGGTACCTCGGGTTACAGACTCTTCAGGTTACAGACTCCACTAACCCAGAAATAATACCTCGGGTTAAGAACTTTGCTTCAGGATGAGAATAGAGGCGGCGCGGCGGCAGAACGGACCTCCAAAACGAATTAAGTTCTTAACCCGAGGTACCACTGTACCCACTTGCTGAATTGCTGACCACCTTGGCCATATAACTGTCTTCTTGGTCAAACTTGATTTCCTTCATGACTTGCCTTGCCTTGGCTTGGCAGCCTGAGTCATTTGAAGTTACTGCTTTGCATGGACCTAATGTTGTCATGGTAGCTATGTAGTATAAGTTGCCTCAGAAAATCGGATGAATACCTACAACAACCTTCACAACCTGGTGCCCTGTTTTGGACTACAACTCCCATCAGCCCCAGCCAACATGGTCACCAGTCAGGGATCATACAAAGTACAAAGCTTCTAGAGGAAACCAGAGGTGTCACAGTCCTGAGCCATTTAAGTCTTTATGGGTCAAAACCAGCACTCTGAATTGGGCCTAGAAGCTAATTGGCAGCCAGCTAAGGTTGCTTTGTTCAAACCATTTTGCCACAGTGAGGAACGTGGCCAATGAATTCTGCACCAGCTGAAGTTTCTGAACCGACTGAAGAGAAAGCCCCACGTGTTACATTAATCTAACCTCGAGCTCACCAGAGCATAGAAAACAATAGTTAGGCTATCCCTGTCCAGAGAGAGGCACAGCTTGGCCACCAACCGAAGCTGATGGAAGGCCCTGCATGCCACCAAGGCCATCTGAGCCTCAAGCAACAACGTATGTTCTACCACTGAGCTACATGATTCAATTGAAACTGTTCTCTATTTGTGGCTCATTGAGTTCTGGACATCGGTTAATCTGTATGGTGACCGACTGATGTCTCCTAATCCCATATACGTATGCTAAGCATTCTTTTCTGCCCTGCTCCTGCAAATATAGGGATGCAGGTGGCGCTGTGGGTTAAACCACAGAGCCTAGGACTTGCTGATCAGAAGGCTGGCGGTTCGTATCCCTGCAATGGGGTGAGCTCCCGTTGCTCGGTCCCTGCTCCTGCCAACCTAGCAGTTCAAAAGCATGTCAAAGTGCAAGTAGATAAATAGGTACTGCTCCAGCAGGAAGGTAAACGGCATTTCTGTGTGCTGCTCTGGTTCGCTAGAAGCAGCTTAGTCATGCTGGCCACATGACCCAGAAGCTGTATGCAGACAAATGCCGGCTCCCTCGGGCCTATAGAGAGAGATGAGCGTGCAACCCCAGAGTCGGTCACGACTGGACCTAATGGTCAGGGGTCCCTTTACCTTTACCTGCAAATATTTCTAAAACTGATAGGCTTGCATTGCCCTATTTTCCTTTGTAAAAACTCTTTGGGTCCAAAAAGGGGGGGGGGAGAGATGCAGCATAAATCATTAATTTCTTTTTCAGTTGATCTGCAGTATCCTTAGGTTCCACATATATTTTTCACGAAAGTCAATAGTCCTTAAAAAAAAAAAAACTTGTTACATTTCCTTTGCTGGCAACCTTTGGACCTCCTTATAATTATTTCTATTACATTTGCAAAGTGAACTGCCAGAGTCGATTACATATATCTTAATATTTGGAAAGGGGGTGGGGGGAAGTGCTAGAGCAGGAAGAGCCAGAAATAAATCATTTAGAACTCTACATGCGTTCAACGTTTTGAAAGCCAATGAGACACTTTGCCGTCCTTTGCTATTAAGACAGAAATAAGTGCCATGAGAGGGATGTGGGGTAGGGAAGATCTCCCATCCTAGTGGCTAACCGAAAGTGGCAAAATGACAACTGCATCCATGATCTCCCATGCCCAGCTGAATGGTGATGTCTCGGGAATCTCCTGCGTTTCAACTCTGAAGCTGCCATAGATTAGATGTGGTAGTTTTCTGCATCCCTAGGCTACAAATAAATTCAATTTCTTGCCTCCTCTGAAAAAGGAGATAGGCTTCTTTTTCTAAAAACCTGATAAAAGTCTTGCAGAAAACAAGTCATGCTAGCACAGAAGGCAGACACCATCCTCATTGCCACACACTTCTAGGCAGCCATAATCCATTAGTTGCAGATTTCCATTTGCTATATATCTTTATTCTGGGAGTGTGTTTCACACGAAGAGGCATTCTTTCTTTTGCACACAATTTCCAGAATTGGCTAAGGATTCAACAAACTAAATAAACCCGTTAGTCAAATAAGTCTCTCTTTTAATTCCTAAAACAGAAATTGCAAAGCAATAAATGGCCGTGATCGTATAGTGGTTAGTACTCTGTGTTGTGTAGCAATAAATATAAATAAGAGAAATTTCCTGACTATGTATATATTGTCTTGTCCTGTAACTCTTCAAAGATATCTAAGGCTGCAATCCCAAGCCCACTTACCTGGGAGTAAGCTCCACTGAATTTAACTGGACTTTCTTCTGAGTAGACAAGGTTAGGTTTGTGCTATAAGGATCACATTTGAACCTAATAATTAAGAAGGGGAGAATTAACTAGCAGAGCAGGATGATAGCAAGTATTATGGTGTGGAATATGAAGACTTGAGGTGCCATTAGTCATGGCTTCCTCCTAAAGAATTCTGGGAAGTGTAGTTTAAGGGAGTTGAGAGTTGTGAGGAGACCCCTGTTCCTCACACAAAGCTAGAATTCCCAGAGTGGCTTAACAGTCCTGTGGAACTCTGGGAACTCCCACTAACAGCTGCCTCTGTTTCCTTAGCGACCATGTCCTTTTGTGACATCACGGGCACTTCATGGCCAATGGCAGGAACTGGGGAGGCACCAGCGCAGCACCTGACAATGGTGGGGGCATTTCAGCAGTGATAGTTTACCTGACTGAGATGGCAGACCAAGCAAAGTGAGAACAAACTAGGAGATTCCATACATTTGAAGTGGTGAAGAGGGTGTGTGTGCATGAACCCATGGCACATATCTCACCTGCAAAACATTGCTTTGAAGATCACATGGCACAATCTCTGAATTGAGCCTAAGACTAACATAACTGAAATTTAAACTCCCAAATGCTTTCCGCTTCTCTTTAAAATCTTGCTGAAAATAAGATTTCTGTGTCTTAATTGTAATACAGAAAAGTGTCTCTTATTCTTCCTCTTCTTGAGATAGCAAGGTAATTTCCAGAGGATTATGATTGTCTCAGACATTCACGTCTCAAATATTTAATCTGAAAGGGAAATTCCCAGTATACCTCTCCCATCATTTCTCAGTTCTGCAGAGTGAAAGCTTCAACTTTATATGATCTGATATTACTTCCATTATTGGAATTATGCTGTAGGCAAATATCCTTCAAGCTGCAAAATCCGCTTCCCTTGTGTTCACCGATTTAAACCCCACAAAGGTCCAATCTGCACTTTACACTGAGTGCTGGGGAAGCCTTGTAATCTGCTGAGATTTTTAGAAACCAATAATGATATCTCATATTGTCTGAGTCTGTAAGACAAAAAGAGAGAGCTGTTCTGAAAAGTTAAAGTATATCACAAGAATGTTAAAAACGAGTTTGCCTGTGATTTGAAAGTTGCACTGAGAAAAGTCATGATGCATCGGAGCTGAATACTAATCCTAATGTTACAGTGGCTTGACATTTATTTGTTTAATTTCTATCCCACCTTTCCTCCAAGGTACTCTAGGTTCTCACTCCCCCCATTTTATCCTCATAACACCTCTGTGACATAGGTTAGGTTGAGAGACTGTGTCTGGCCCAAGGCCACGCCGTGAGCTTCATGGCTGAGAGGGGATGTGAACTCTGGCCTCCCAGGTCCTAGTCTGTTACTCTAACCACTGCACAACACTAGCTCCCAATATTTTGATACTTTAGACCCCTGCCCCTCCCCTGCCCCAAAGTACATTGTTTTGGGCTGCTGGGAAAGCTCCTAGACCAGCCTTTGGCAGCCTGGTAGTCTGCAGAATTTGAAGGACTACAATGCCCATCTTTCCTCATTGTAACGCCAAGGTCGCCAGTTCAAACCCCATACGGGACCTAGGTTATCTTCAGGGTCCCTTCCAACACTACAATTCTATGACTCTATGATTGGCCCTACTGGATGTCAAAGCTCTGTCAAGGCTTCGGGAAAGCTATTCCTCCCCTGGTTGCAGCAAGAGCAGAGAAAACAAGGTCCTAATGGCAAGAGGCAAAATAACACAACAAGCCTTAACAATGGCGTTGCTCCAAACTGGGCTCCTCCTTCCTAGCAACAGCATCTTCCCTTATGGTGGCCCCCCCATGATCAAATATCTCTGACTCTGTTGTTCCTGCACTGTTAACAAACGCCGAGTCCTGGGAGAAGGGGAATCAGAAATACTTTCCAGTGACAACGTGTCATCTGGCTGCCCTGCTGCAGTCCCCCTCCCCTTCTTCTATCACTGCCCAACTTCTCTGTTCGACTATCTCTGAGTTATGACTTTCCTCAAACCCCTCAAAGCCCTGTTGTAAATCAAGGCTGCCTCTCTCTTCTCCTGCAGCTGCCTCCCTCTTCTCCACCATTCCTCCTCCTCCATCTTGCCCTCTTGAGTCCAATCCTTGACACTGGTTGAGGTTGATGAGAGTTGTAGTCCAGAACATCTGTCAGGCACTGGGTTGAGGAAGTCTACCCTAGACTGTTGCCTGCCCCAAAGCAAATTACAAAGGCCAAAGCTGCTTAGTTTAGTCAGCAGTACAAGTACATTTTGACAACTATATAAACTAGAGGTGGCTAAGCTGTGGCCTTCTAGATGTTCTTGGACTCCAGCTCCCATCAGCCCCAGCCAGGATGGCCAATGGTTGAGGCTAATGAAGTTCTGGAGGTTCACAGATCCCACAGCGCTGAGACTGGAGAGAAAGCTTTGCCTCGTGCCTTTTAAAGAATGAGCAGGTGCTAAGCACCACAGTGTGAAGAGTGGTGATAACTTATATCCTGTCTTAGTGCTGTGGTGCTTAGCGCTAAGATCAGAGATAAGGTTTTGTGGTTTTATATTGTAAAGCACCCTGCGATCTTTGGATGAAGGGTGTGTAGAAATTTAATTAATAGATGATGATGATGATAATAATAACAGCAGCAGCACTCCTTTCCTCTCATCCAACCACTTAGTTATTGTATTAGAGATAACAAATCTTCCTGCTTGATGTCAGATGGGCATGGTTTTCCCCCAAATGGCTTCATGGACCAAATTCAGAGGCCTACTGAAGCTAATTAGGTATGTGGACTGGAGGTTCTCACTGCCTGGATAAGCCATTTTCTAGAATGGAAATACAATTATGGAAAAGTTTTACCCACTGTCAGACATCTTATTGCTTATGTACAGACCTCTGACTGATTCCCCAACTCCACCCTTACTGTGCCTCCATGCACCTTTAGACGAAAAAAAGGTTTCACACCCCTGCCTTACTTATCAGAGGTTGAAAACAGTGCTCCCCCCCCCCTAGAAAATTAGGTGCTGGTACTCGCCATGAAGTGGTTACAGTAAGTGCCACACTTTTTAACAACAACAACAAGAGGTGCTGGTACTATGTACCCTTGAGTTCCCCCTGAAAAAGCACTGGTCAGAACAAGGGTAAGAGGCCCCTGACCTGGTCACAGTCTTGTCTACTTTTGTAAGACATAATGCATTGCTACTCAAAATATAGCAATTATTTCTAATATGCGGCTGAACACATACATAAGCATAGCTAGCTTTTATGCAAATTTGATTCCTCTGGTGGGTGGAATGGGGGGCTGAATCCACATACAATGCATGGGGCCTAGGAAATCCTACCCAGCACACTGCCTTAGCTCTCGGTGTAAGGTCAGAAATTTGGTAGGTTTATCTAGCAGACTGTATACCCCTCATGCTGTAAGCACCACATTATCATCTCTCTCTTGCTCTCTCTCAACATACAAAGGGAGTTAATATTCCTTATTTCCTCTTCTGCGGAGCAAACATAATGTAGACTATTGTGGCACAAAAGCTATAATTACAATTCATGTGTAGTGATTTTTTAAATGGTTCTCCTCCATGCTTTAATGGGACTGGAATTTCTGCTGTGGGCATGCTGTTTGTTTGATTTTGATTTATTTGGGGAAAGCTGCCCCACTCTTAGCAGCTCCAGGAGAATTCTGTTTGTGGGGACAATATTATGATCAGCTTTAAAAAGATTCCAAAAGATTTAGAACAGTGACATCATTGATGGAAAGAGTCTGACATAATTGAACAATAATTGCAGTTAGACTTCCAAAAAGCTTTCACTCCTGAACTGAGTTTGGATCTGGTGTACCGTACTTTACACCGACGTAAGTGGCATAATTTATGCTGGCTTCCCATACTTAGCAATACTTGCTTAGAAAGAATCATCTGTTTTGCTGACTTGTTGTTGTTGTTTAGTCGTGTCCGACTCTTCGTGACCCCATGGACCAGAGCACGCCAGGCACTCCTGTCTTCCACTGCCTCCTGCAGTTTGGTCAAACTCATGCTGGTAGCTTCAAGAACACTGTCCAACCATCTCGTCCTCTGTCACCCCCTTCTCCTTGTGCCCTCCATCTTTCCCAACGTCAGGGTCTTTTCCAGGGAGCCTTCTCTTCTCATGAGGTAGCCAAAGTATTGAAGCCTCAGCTTCAGGATCTGTCCTTCCAGTGAGCACTCAGGGCTGATTTCCTTAAGAATGGATAGGTTTGATCTTCTTGCAGTCCATGGGACTCTCAAGAGTCTCCTCCAGCACCATAATTCAAAAGCATCAATTCTTCGGCGATCAGCCTTCTTTATGGTCCAGCTCTCACTTCCAAACAAACAAACTGGGAAAACCATAGCTTTAACTAAGCGGACCTTTGTTGGCAAGGTGATGTCTCTGTTTGTTAAACCACTCTGGGAACTGTAGCTCTGTTTGTGGGACAGGTGTGTCTTATGAGAGAGCATCAACAGTGCTAATTTTCTAGAAAAAGGGGTGCCGGAACTCACCATGAACACCTCCTTTGTTCTCTTATAATGGCAATGGAGCCCACCTGAGAGGTGCCAGAACTGAGTTCTGGTGAGTTCTGGCTGGGGAGGGAAAGCCCTGAGCATCAAGCTTACAAAAGAGAAAGAGCTGTGAAATGGAATGGAATCGATAATTGGGGGGGGGGGGTGAACAAAGTGAGACAGCATTGTGAACTACTTCACTACGCACAAGTGAAACTTTTCTCAAGCAAGCCTATTAGATAGAATATTATTCTTACATAAATCTACTTGTGGGTATGTTCCACAGCCTCCTGTTTCAGCTGCAGTCTTGATATCAGAAAGGACACAGTAGCAGCTGCTTTTTTTTTTTTTTTTTTTTGGCTGACTTAACTAGTTCTAATGCCTTAGTCTGCATGGTGTTGTTTTTTAAAAAATAATAATTGTTTGTTGCAATGACACTTTACAAAGTAGTATAGGCAAAAAGGTACATCTCAGGGCCTTCACATGGCTGCTCCCAGACATTGGAACCGCCTCCCTAGAGAGGCTAGACAAGCTCCCTTCTTGTCCTTCACCACCTGGTGAAGAGTGTTTTATTCTGGCAACTTTTTGGGAACTGACTATTTTTAAGGGAAGGGCTTTTAATAGGGCTGGGTAGGGGTTCCCCCCTCAGATTTGACTATATTTTATAGATTTGCTTTTATATCATTTTAACTCTATTATGGTTTAATTACTGTCAAACTATTATCTTTTATAAGTTACAGTCGTATCTTGGTTGACGAACGGAATCCGTTCCGGAAG